CCGCCAGGGGGGTCCCGATGTTCATGCATGGAGGGGCCGCTAGGGGGGCCTCCGGAGCTTCGGAAGTGTATGTTCATGCAGAATGTTTCGCTCCTCTACATTAAAGGTATGACAGTGTATGGGAACAACAGCTTCCCGAGACATTCCGGAACCCCGCGGGGCCTCCTGGGCCTCGCGAGGGGTGCTCCGGGCATTGGTGGCCTCCTCAAAAATGCTGGGCACACCCTGGGGTGAAGGACACTCTTGGCAAGAAGGGGGAACGATAACGTGCGCGCCCAGGGGGGGGGGGGGGGGGGGGCAGGGGGGAGAGAGCCCAGGGGGAACGAGAAGGTGCGCGCCGGGGTGGGGGACGATCAGGTGCGAGCCCAGGGAGGGGTGTGCGAGGGGGCAGGCCATCTCAGAGTGCGGTGAGGCTTCTGAGAAGGCGAGGCTTCTGAGAAGCCCCGCCGCCTTTCTGAGAACACCTGCTCACCATCACTGCTCCCTCTCGCTGCTCCCTCTCACTTCCCCCTCCCTATCCCTCTCACACCGTAAGAACACCTGCTCCCTTTCACTTCCTCCCGTGGGCTCGCCGCCGAGATGAGGGGGCGATGGAGGGGGGACTGGCCCAGAGGGGGAAACATAGGTTGCAGCAAATACCTTGGCTTTCTTGATGAGCGTGGGGGGCACCCCCCCGATGTGGGTCAACCTCGCCTCGTCGTCGCGCCGCGACGGGGGTCGGAGCGCCTCCGGCGCGCGGTGGCTACCCGCGACGGGGGTCGATGTGGGGCTGTCGGCGGGGGTGACGCCCCCCCGACGCTCATCAAGAAACTTAGAATAGGTTGCACCATACGGAACTGCCGTCACCCGAAAAAACACCAGCTACGGCAGACCTGGCTTCGTGATTCTGGCCCACTAAGGGGCTCTTTGGGGCCCCACTGCCAACCGGGTCCCCGTACCTGCGGTCCTGGCTGTACCCGACCCTGGGCTCGCCGCCGAGATGAGGGGGTGAGGGGGGGGGGGACTGGCCCAGAGGGGGAAGACATAGGTTGCAGCACATGGGCTGCACCATGCACCGATGGCACCACAGCGGCTGCACACCGAGAGTGCAAGGACCCAATGCTCGGGGCCTGCGCCAGCAAGCCCTGTTCGTCCTCCCCTGGCCGAGGGGAGCGCGAGGGGGGGACGGGCGCAGAGTTAGGTCGGGCGTGTCCTCCTACAGGCGGATTTTGGAGGAAATATCAGGAATGGTCAACACATATTCACATGATCATCCCCAGACTATGGTTTGACCATGTTTGAAAATGCCCCCTGCAGATGGACACGCCCGACTTCAGCACAGGGGAGAAGCATCGACTTGAGGCCTGCGTCACATCGCCGATGGGCCCCCGATGGCGATTCCACGCGTTCCGTGGCGGGGGTGGGGCGTCGGGCCCCTATCGGCGATTCATGGGCGATCGATCGATGCGTCCCCCGAGCCTATTCCCTGCGAAATGCTTGAGAAATCATGGGTTAAGAAAGTCATAGTCTCAAAATTTGCAGAAAAAAACAGACATCAAATCAAAATCTCAGGATTTGCATTGAAACATTACAAGAAGTATCGAGACCCTGGCCGAAAACGTGAGGTTGTCTGAAGCATCGCCTGGGGCGTATGCCCTAGGCCCCCCGAACGTTCCCCCCCCGAGACTGGATATTGGGCGCCCGAGTTATCCGGGATAACTCGGGTCCGGGGTAACTCGGGTTTGGATTCCCGAGAAAGGAACCCGAGTTAGCCCTGACCCGAGTTACCCCTGATGATTCGGGGCTCTGGACGCCCGAGTTATCCGGGATAACTCGGGTCCGGGGTAACTCGGGTTTGGATTCCCGAAAAACGAACCCGAGTTATCCCTGACCCGAGTTACCCCTGATGATTCGGGGCTCTGAGGATAGAGGGACAACTCGAGGCTCGACCATCGCTCCTCCGATGCCTCCGCGGAACGGATGGAGATCGGCGCCGGGCCGCCCTCCCCGGCGCGCGGAGCGCGCCGGGGTCCTGGGCGTCGCGTTACCAGTGACTACCTACCAGACCACCCCAACCCAACCCGAAGACCCGAATTTCGGGTTGGGGGGGGTAAGGGTTCCATACGTGTTTTTTCGATGTTTCTCGAATCCCCCCCCACTGGAAATCGAGGGTAAATCTGAGCCTTCGGGTTGGGTTGGGGTGGTTTGGTAGGTGGTGAACCAGGGGACGATGAGTGGAGGGGAAGCCAGGGGCACTCCTCGGCCCCACATGCCTCCTGTTGGACCCCAGAGGGGGGCATCTTGCGGGGCCCCAAGAGGGCCCCTTTTCTGCTGCCCGCGCTGCCCCGCCAGTCGTTCCCCCCTTGACGCGAAGCCCTACTCCGAGTTTCTTGATAAGCGTCGGAGGGGGCTCACCCCCGCCCACGGCCCAATATCGCCACCGCGCGCCGAATGCGCTCCGACCCCCGTCGCGACGCGACGACGCGGAGAGGTTGACCCCTGGCGGGGAGGTACCCCCTCACGCTTATCAAGATACCCAGAGTAGTGTCCGTGCTGGAGTCGCCGCGCGGAGCTCCCCGTACGCGCGAGTAAGCAAGCCGCCTCCGTCGCGCAGGAACGCGTCCCCGGGGAGATGGGCAGAATGGGCCGCAACCCTGAGAAACTGGAGCGCTCGCCGTATCCTCACACGCGCCGAAACGACACCTCTTCTCCACATCTTTCCACTGCTGCGCTGAAAACTACAAACTACGTCGAGAATGATAGACCGGCTTACTCCTAAAACTTGTGGTGGCTGCATCTATTTGTTCTTCGACCGGGCTGCGCACCGTCCCCGCGGTGCCCGAGGCCCATACCCTTCGGCGAGGCACTCGGTGGTCCATGGCTTCGGCGCCAGTGGCCCATGCCTTCGGCGAGGCTCCCGGGCGAATGCGCGTAATTCCCGCCCCTGGGCTATTCGGCCCTATCGTCACCTCCGCAAATTTTGAGACGAAACCAAGACGAGGATAAAAAAGGGTGAGGATACATCGAGAATCTCCGAGACCTGGCGGCTAGGGAAGATGTCTCGGGCGCCGCGGCCTTCTCAGAGCGTTCCAGAACGCTCTGAGCGCGTTCCAGAACGGTCTGGAACGGATTTATGCTCGTCCGAACCCCGCCCGTGGAGAGGAGAGGAGAGGAGAGGAGGAAGCGGAGGAGTAGGAGGAGGAGGAGGAGGAGGAGAGCCTTCTGGAACGCTCTGGAACTGATTTATCCTCGTCCGAGCCCCGTCCAACATTTCGCGCGGAGCTCCTAGTAAGTGTGGTTAATTAATTAGCTTTAGGTCGGGCATGTCCTCCGACAGGCAGGCTTTGGACGACACCTATTGTTTGAAATACCTTACAATAGTCTACAATCTACAAATGATAGAGGAATCATCCCCAGACTGTTTTCTATTACTTTTGAACATTCCTCCTGTAGAGGGGCATGCCCGACGTCAGGTTGGCTGCCTCTGCTTGTTCTTCGGCCGGGGCTGCGCACCTAACCCCCTCGGGGATCTTCTTACCCGGGTCAATCAAGACCCGGGTCAGTATGGCCTTTCAGGATCCTGCAAGATCCTGCATCCAAGCACGGGTCAATGCGAAGGATCCTGGGAGATCCTGCAGGATCCTGCACCCAAGCCCGGGCCAATGCGAACCTGGCCCTGCAGGATTCTGCAAGATCCAGCGCTCTGGCTGATCCCCGTTTGCATTGACCCTTGTCTCAACAGAAAATGAAAAAACACCATAAACATAAACTTTTGGCGCTCCGCGCGGATTTCTTGGATCTGCGCTGGGCCGCTAGGCCCCCCCATCGGCGCCTCCAGCGCGGAGCGCCAAAAGTTGATGTTTCTGGCTTTTTTGTCCTTCGACTCAAGTCGGCGACTCCGAAGGGCGTGGCTGGCAAAGGGTGCGGCTTGCAACCAGCACCCTGAGGGGCACCCTGCATGGGGGGCGGGCGGGGACCTCGACAGAGCCTCATCTCTCCGACCCGCCCCGAGGAGGCCCAGCGATGACAGTGTCTGGGGAAACCATAAGGTACCGATACGGCTTCTCCCCGGATCTCTCCCCGGGTGCGTTCTGACCAGCATTTCGAGGCGAATCCAGCGGTGGCGACGAGGGCCTCCCAGGATGCCCAAAAAAGGGAAAACGGGCGAGGGGGTAGAGGTATGGGTACCTGTTCCTCCTCTGAGTGTCGTGCTCCCCGGGCCCCAGCAGTGTCGATCGCAAAACACACCCCGGCGTAACCGTACCATTTCTAGTCGCCGATCAAATCTCCCCCCCCCCTCTGCCCGAGGCCGCCGGCGCGCTCCTCGCCCCCCCGAGGGCCCTCGACACCCCCTTTTGCTCGCCCTGCTCTGCGGCTGCTCGCGGCCCTCCCACGCCCGCTCCGCGCAGTCCCACCAGCCCTCTGGGCGACACTCCTCCTCCTCCTCCTCCTCCCCTCCTCCTCCTCCTCCTCCTCCTCCTTCTCAACCTCAACCTCAACCTCCTCCTCCTCCTCCTCCTCCTCCTCCTCCTCCTCCTCCGTCCTCCTCCTCCTCCTCCTCCTCCTCCTCCTCCTCCTCTCCTCCTCCTCCTCCTCCTCCTCCTCCACCTCAACCTCAACCTCCTCCTCCTCCTCCTCCTCCTCCTCCCCCTCCTCCTCCTCCTCCTCCTCCTCCTCCATGGTCTAAGGAGGGACTCTTTCTTCTTCCACAACCCCTCTTCCCTTCGGGGAGGGGATACCTCCCCTTCCCATCCTTGAGGGTTTCTGGGAAGTGCCGCCAGATGTGGGAGGCCCCTTTTTCGGCCAGTGGGAGGGTCAATGTTTGACACCCTTTTCGAGGATCGTGGCCCCCGAGGGGGGACGAACATCGAGCACCCCCCCTCTTTTGACTGACCGCCTCCAATATGGCCCCAAGAGGCCCTCGAGGGGTCCCACGAGCGTCCCAAGAGGCCCCACGAGGGCTCCAAGAGGCCGCCGAGAGGCCCCCCAGAGGCCCCCGAGTGGCCCCCAAGCGGCCTCAGAGAGCCCAAGATGACCTCCAAGATGGCTCAAGATAGTCCAAGCTGGCTCAAGATGGTTCCCAAGATGCCCCAAGAGGCCCCAAGACCGCTCCAAGACAACTCGAGATGGCCACGGAGTCTCCCTAGGAGGCCGCCAAGAAGCCGTCAACTCTCATGGGTATATCGTTTCTGGATAGGCTGGCGGGGATACGTTTTTTTGGTACGCGGGCTCGCGAAGCAGGTCGAAAGCCGGGCAAAGCTAGGGCGGGCCGCGCCGAAGGAACAGGGAAAAACAGAACGGAGCAACGCCCAGCTCAGACACGGGCTCAACGTCCAACAAAACGTAAGAAATGGCAGCCCGGCACGATGACCAGGTCAAGAATTGTGAATCCATCCCCGAAGACTCAAATTTCGGGATCGGGGGGGAGGGGGAAGGGCTCCACTCGGGGGTTGGCAGAACAGGGGTTAGTGGGACCTGGTTTAGTGATGTGGACTGGGGGACGCCCCCCCCGCCCATTCCACTCACCGGAACTGCCGACACTCCCCCAAAAAACACCAGCTACGGCAGTCCTGGTTTGGTGATTCTGGCCATTTAGATGCTCCAGGGCCCTACTACTAAGAGACCGTTTTTTTGAATCGGCGATAACCCGGGTTATCCAGGGGGAGAGGGGGCCCGCCGATAACCTAACCTTCGAGCTGTGGGCAGCCCTGCATATGCCCGCGCCCCCCACCCCGGACCTGCACAGCCGGCAAGAGTAGGTTATCCTGGGGGGGGGGGGGGGGGCAAGCCCGATAACCCAGGTTATCGCTGGACCCGAAAAAACACAAGCCTCTAACCGGGTCCCCTTACCTGGGGTCCTTGCTATACCCGCTCCACGCGCGCTTCTCAGTGGCCTCCCACGAGGAGCGGAGGTCTAATATGGAGGCCTTCGGGTTGGGCTGGGGTGGTCTGGTGGGTGGCGATCCTGCCCGTGAGCATCGTTTAGCCGACCCCCCATCCCCAAGGGCGTGGCCTGGGCCCCACTGGCCGATGAATCCCCCCCCAGATAGGGATACAGGCTGCTCCCTTCGGGTTTCGAGTGGCACTGCCGCAACTCTAGGGCTCCCAACTTCGCGCTTCGCGCTCCGCGAAGCGCGAAGCGCGAATAACTTCGCGCTCTCGCGCCGCCCCCCCAAAGGGAGAAGAGGAGGACGAGGAGGAGGGGGAGGAGGAACGAGGACCGCGAAGCGCGAAGCGCGAATAACTTCGCGCCCTCGAGGGAGCCCTTGCAACTGGGGTGGTGGGATGGTGGGGATCTGGACGGGGATGGAGAAAGGGATAGGGATCGATTAAACGATGCTGATGCCCGGGCGGCTGGTCTGGAGGCGAGCCTGGACGCCACGACGGCTGGCCCCCGTGTACTCTACCTGGCGCTTGGGCCGTCAACTCACTCTTGCTGAAAGGATTGGGCCATCCACATGCGCCGCGGGGGATCTACGCTCAACTGCTTCGAAGCAGACACGTGTTTTTTCCTGACGTTTGCGAATAGGCACTTTGCGAGTAGTGGAACGCGCTCCGTGACTCTTGGTGCAAAAGACTTGGCCGTCAACTCTCTCGCGACGGCCACCTGTCGAGGCCACCAAGCGCCACCACCAACCGCCTTTCGGCGTCCTTTCGGCGGGACTCAACCGCCAACAACTCCTCCCCCACGCCCGCGACCGCGGGCGCTGCCGATTCTGACCCGTTCGTCAACTGGAGCTTGGACGCCTGGCATGGGTAGGTACGACGCCCAGCAACAACCCGAGGCGGCAACGACAACGAATCCTGTTCAAAATGAAAGGGAAATCATGTTTGTACCCATTCATTCTGTGCCCATTTCGCTCGTGTCGAGCACCCTCGTAGGGGATTTCGCCTCGCTCCGACTGCAAGGGAGGAGGTGGAGGAGGAGGGGGAGGAGGAGGAGGAGAGGAGGAGAGGAGGAGACGCGGAGCGCTGTCTCTTCAAAACGAGGGCCGAACACCACAGGATGGTTGGGAATTACGAGACCGAATCTGAAATTTGACGCGAACTCCCGCTGCAAGCATCCGGCGCGAAAAGAGGACCGCCAAAATCCAGGGCGGGCTCGAGCGAACCCGAACTCTGGCGTACCCTAGCCTTACGTTTCCCTGATTTTGGCCTGGAGGCCTCCTAGATGGGGTCCGGGAAAATGGCATCGGAGGATCGCAGCGCGTCGCCAATGCATCGGCGCCATCGGCGCGGAGAAAATCGGGTTCCCCCATCGGGCCGCATCGCCGATGCATCGGCGATGCGACGCGATCCTCTGACCTCATCTGCTCAGACCCCATCGGGGCGGCCTAGACTACCGCCGAAAGTCTCCACCTCCTCCTCCTCCTCCTCCTCCTGTCATCCTCCTGTCCTCCTCCTCCTCCTCCTTTCCTCCTCCTCCTCCTCCTCCTCCTCCTCCTCCTCCTCCTCCAATTCCTCCTCCTCCTCCTCCACCTCCTCCTCCTCCTCCTCCTCCTCCTCCTTTTCCTCCTCCTCCTCCTCCTCCTCCTCCTCCTCCTCCTCCTCCTCCTCCTCCCTCCTCCCTCCTCCCTCCTCCCTCCTCCCTCCTCCCTCCTCCCTGCCCCTCCTCCTCCTCCTCCTCCTCCTCCTCCTCCTCCTCCTCCTCCTCCTCCTCTCCTGCTCCTTCTCTTCTTCCCCCCCCCCTTCCTGTCGTCGTCGACCTCCTCCTCCTCCTCCTCCTCCGCCTCCTCCTCCTCCTCCTCCTCCTCCTGGATCTGAGATGCCCGGACCCCCTCCAGGCCTGGCTGACCGCCCCCGAGATCGCCCCCGCGGGGTGGACAACCTGCCGGTCTCTGACAACCTGCCGGTCTCCGACCCCACCCCCCGTTCCTGCGCGGCGGCGGGCTCGCTGCCGACGCCCTGCCCGCGCCCGCCGCGGGGGGGAGGGATGATGGCGATGACGATGACGATAACGGTGACGATGATGCGGACGACGATGGTTATAATGCTGATGATGCTGATGATGACGACGACGACGATGATGACGGTGATGACGCTGACGATGATGATGAGGTTGTTGATGTCGATGTTGATGATGACAAAGACGGTGGCGACGACGACGACCATGCCAGCGATGTTGATGACGATGGTGGCGATGATGGGGATGATGACGATGATGACGACGATGATGCTGATGACGTTTTTTCCCACGGGACCGATGACGGCGGGAATAGACAAAACAACGCAGTCCATAGGTCTTTGGTACAATCTGGGTCCGTACTTAAGAAATGCTGTGTTCGAGCTCCGTAAGAGAGAGAGAGAGAGAGAGAAAGAGAAAGAGAGAGAGAGAGAGAGAGGGAAAGAGAGACCTAACATTGGAAGGAGGGAAGAAAGGGACACTAGATCAACAATTATGCCAGTGGCCGTTAGCCAAGGTCACTCAAGGCCCCTCGGCCAAGGGACGCATCCGGCGCAAGGCGAGAGAGAGCGGGCGCCTCGCTGTGCGTCATCGGAAACCTGCGGCCGGCAGGTGCGACAGAAAAGGCCAGCGGAGAGCATGGCTGTGCACGCCCTGGCTTGCACAGGATGTGCCGAGCCCCGTGCCGTCCGCAGAAGAAAGACTGACTCGAACACATTCCCAGCTCAAGTCCAGAGAGCGGGCCGAGCAGAGAGAGGCTTTCGGGGAACCTCGGATCGAGAACCACCATCCCGCTCTCGATGCCAAGCAGCGCGCGGCAGCAAACCGTGCAGAGAGAGGCAGAGAGGCTGGCACACAAAGAGAATCGACGGACTCGCCATCACCTCCAATGAGCAGAATCTTGGACACGCGACCAAGCATCCTGAACTTAAGGGCGCCTCCGACAGTGAAGACGAATTCGAGCTTCAAAGAGGCCTTTAGCCGGGAGACGGGAGCCCCCTCGAACACTAGCTTGAACAAACAAGAAGCCGTCAGGGAGTGAGACACACCGCAGTTTCAAACTCGGGAACGGGGGAGGGGCAATAAGGGTAAAACGACGGAGCCAGGACTCTTCGCTAAACAACGGCAGGCGACAAGGGGCGAAAGCTCGACTCAGTCGACGAAATTCAGGACAGACTGCATAATGCTCCATAGAATATGAAGCGCCAGGGTTTCCACAATTCCAGCAGCATCGTTCAGGGCCACGGTGGAAGCGAGCACAGGTGCAGACACCTCGAGATAGCATCCGCAGAACAGCATGACCCAGATACAGAGAACTATCTTTGGTAACCTTATGGGTAGCCTGAATGACACCTGAAGTCTGAGACGCCGAAACCCATGGGAGCCACCGAACAACCCGCATCTGCAGGCATCGGTTGGAGGAGTTCGGGGCGGGGCCGGCACGCAGACGATTGAACGGCTTTCTTTGGGCACCCTTACCCTGCAGAAATGCCGAGCATCGAGAGATGTGATCAGACCAGGTCGAGGCCAGCGCTCGAGCAAACGAGTGTTGCCACCGCGGGAATCTAATGCGCCCTGGACGGTGGTCGTCTTGCATAACTGGGTCCCCAAGCAATAGCCGCAATGTGAAGAAAGCAGAAGAGTGGTGCGCAAGCCGAACCTGTGTCGCAATACTCACTAACTCCAGATCAGGGAATTCCAGACTGATCCCCAGGTCTCGAAGACGTGCACACATCAAGCGATTGAACGAGAAGCGCGGACCAGCAATGAGTTTTTGGTGCACATTCTGCTCGCATTGCCGAAAAGCACGGGAGAGCGGGTGGAACTGCATCACGCAACGAAGCAGCGAGGCAGCGATGATAGCATACGTACGAATCGTAAGTGCAAGCCCAAGCCGAAGACGACGAATCTCAACGCAGCGCTGGCGGTACTTCTGAAGTGCTACGTGCCACGCATGCACATGCCCTCCAGGCCCATTTTGGATCCCCAAGTAACGCGCGCGCCGCGCAAGCTGAATCAGCGATGCCCCAGGCCCCAGAGACTCCAAGAGACGCCGCGCGTGCCGAATCATGCGCGGTGTAAGATGCCGCCCACAATGCACAAGCATACACTTCCTTATATTCAGAGAGAGAGAGAGAGAGAGAGAGAGAGAGAGACCAGTCGCATCATCTATACTCTGCAGCCGCGGTCGCAGAAGAGGAAGCTCGAGGATAACATCGCGCAGCGCAATCCAAAGATCATCAGCATGCGCGAGTGTCATTCGTGGACGGCGTGAGCTGACCCAACGTATGCAATGATCAAGAGCCAACGCAAATAGTAACATACTGGATGGGCCCCCTTGGCGAACCCACCAGCAAACATAATGCCCCCGCGCCGCTTCCCACCGAAGCAGACGCGCCCCAAATTCTCAAGAAGTAAAGCAACTCGAAGAAACCAACGACCCCATAATGGACTTGCATCAGAACCAGGACCCGAAGGGGCCAGGAAATAGCGATGCTCGGAAAAGCAGCAGCGAAGTCCGCGAACATCATGCAGGCCAGATCCCTTCCCAGAATAGACTGCTGAAGCCCCCAGACTTCAGCGCCCAGAATCTGATCGGCCATCGAGCGCCCCTTGAGGCGCGCCCGAGCTTTTGACGCGGTCTCGCGGGCCGCGAGTTCTAATCCAAGAGAAAGCCAGGGACATAATATTACAGCTAGCGTCTGCCATCGCTAGCGGTCGGCATGCGCCGGGAGAGCGAGAGGGAGACGAGGCGAGATCAGATGGACGGTCCCCTCGCGCAAGAAACGCCACTAACATTTCACGCGCGCTCACCGGGAGATCCGCGCCGCGATGGTCCATGAGGTGACTCTGGATCGTATAATACTGCAATGGGGATGGAAGACTTCCAGCACGAATACGCAATGCCGTCTGGCCCAGGCATAGAGTCTTTACGCCCGCGAACGAGTTCCTCACAATAATCAAAATCCAGATGCCACTGATCATCAGACAGTTCAGGAACAGGAGCGACATGAGTTCCCAGATCGGCCCAGGGATCCACATCACACTCATGCCCCCAAAAAAACTGACCCCCAGTGGACCGCTGGAGCCTCGCCGGCCTCCTCGGAGGACGCACGTGGGTTCCCATCCGAGCCTAATCTGTTTCCCAACGAGACCCTCTTCTGAAGTGGCCTCCATAGTTCCTCACGTCGTTGCAACCTCGATCGCATGCGAGCCTTCGTGTCAGGCTCAGCCTCCTGGTCCGCTGCCCTTTCAAGTTCCAACATGCGAGAGTTCTGCAGCGTCTGACTGCGGTCGCAAAGAGAAGGCAATGAGTGACAGATGCCAGACGTGAGGTCGAAGCAAGGAGCGAGAGCAGGATGACGCTGCACTGCGTCGCTGACACGCAGCAAACGCCCCGCTCGCACTCCTCGCAACGCTGCAAGTGCGAAGAGGATCCCTTCATCGGCCTAAACTGCCAGCGTTCGTTTCATGCGTCGACGCGTTTGTGTGGCAGCCTCCCACGTGCACTGCTTCACGAGGCTGACTTGATCTCCCATCGGCGCCGACCGATCCATGTCTCCCAAGAGAAATGAAAGCTCCGCGTGAAGCATGTGGCCAGACCCCGCCCACAATGGGATCTTCAGAAAGTCCGTTGGAAGAAGCCCCCGAAAAGTCGCAAGCGCGGGGGTGTGATCCGATGCGTTGCCAGCGCACATCGCCTGTCCAATCACAGAGCAGGAGACCGAGAGATCAACAATCGCAGCAGATGGATTGGCGAGATAGAGACGGTCAAAACGGCTCACATGGACCAGTGCATTATTCAGCACTCCCCTTCGGGCGGGGTCGGGCTGGCGAATTTCAGTCCAATGCGGAAAGTGCCGACAGAACGAGGCGCGTCAATGCCGATCCCCAGGGCGCCACCCAGAGCCATCGCCACACTGCCACCCATCCTCCTCCAGAGCAAAGTTGAAGTCTCCTCCGATCAAAATCATAGCATTCCCAGCACCTCGGAGACAATCCTGGATTCGCCGAAGGGCGCGATTGAAGGCCCAGGTGGGCCCCCCAGAGGTAGGAAGATGAACATTAATAACCCAAAGAGAACCAGGGGGGCCAGTGCATTTGGTTAGAAGGATGCGTCCGTCGTCAACCTTGCAGTGCCCAGTGCCCGTGAAGAAAGAGCAAAGATATGGAGAGATAATAGTAAGAACACCACCAACAATGTCAGAAAAGTGGCCCGGAAACCCACTGTCCAATTCCGTAAATCACGCTGAATAGCCTGCGCGCCACCAGCTGTACCATGAGTTTCTCGTAGGCAGAGAATGCTTGAATACCGAGAGTATGCCGGCATCTTCTTGCATCGACGAGACGCGCGCAGAGAGGTAGCGGAGAGGGAAGCGAAGAATCCGCTAGAGCTCCAAGTGAGAACAGAACAAGAACAGGAAGGAGGGGCAAAGGGCAGAGACATTTCAAACAGCGACCACGAGACACCGCTGCTGTGGAGTCAGAAACATAAGAGTTAGAGGACGAGCTGGACCCAGGGCTCGAACTGGAGGAGGGATTAAACACAATCTCCCGATCAAGAGTGACGGCCTCGAGCTGGCCCTGAGAAAGTGAGGGGCCCGGAGACAAAACTGAACTGACTGAAAACTGTATCTAGCCTGTCAGGCTCCAAACCAAAAGGGGCGCGCGGGGGCCGCCTCGAACGCATCCTGGAACTTCCGACGAAGGGGGGCAGGATCAAGGCAAAGGGCCTTCAAGCCAACATCATCGGCTTTAATGTGACTTGCATCCTGCTTCTGGGGCAGCAAGACAAATGGAACAACGGGACTGGGCCCTCCCTCGAGCGAAGACCGAAGACATCGCCTCCGATCCCATTGGAATTAGCCTGGGGACCTTGCATGCTCAGTTCTTCCCGGACTGCGGCACGAACCTTACCATCTTAAAGAAGAACGAGAAGCCAATGCTGAGGAGAGAGATTCCGGCGAACACGAAGAGGCCAGATTTCGGAAGGGTTGCGGGGGGTGGGGATCGAGTAGCTCCCACTCAACTTCCTGTAATTGTCCAAGCAGTCAGAGGCCCTGGCGGGGGACGGGAAATCGAGGGTAACCCTCTTGTGCAGGTCATACGCACGCACCCGAATGAGACCCACTGCTTCCGTTGTCGCACACTTCGGTACAATTTCATTGACCGCGCTCTCGAGTCGAAGCCATGAGACGACCCTGAAACCCGAGGATGAACAGCCTATGAGCATCTTCAACACTCGCAACAGACGAGCCTCCTCCACCACCTGCCGACGTTGAGCTATCCCCAACCGACCCACCATCGATCCCGCGACGTTTGCCAGACTGCACTGCGTGAGAGAGGGGACTGCGAGACATTGCCATCTGATGAGCCTGTTCCAACGCATCCATCCTCGCATCCGTTGCCTTCTGAGCCTCCTGGATCTGATCGAAACGAGTCGTCATCTCCTTGAATGACTGACCTTGGAGCGCCACAGTCGCACTGAGCCCAGGCATCCGATCATCCATCAACTTTGATGTAGCAGCGAGGTGGTCCTGCAGCATTTTACCAATCTCTGAGGCACTCGCCACAGCTGGATCTGATGATCGGAGAAGCAAGGAGTGGGGGAGCTCGCACACAGGATAAAACTAGTTTTATCGGAGCCTCCTGAAGCAAAAAGCCTCGAGCCAGGCCCTCAACTACGACCAAGCACTAAGCACCAGGCCGCACGTTTCGTACTTGAGCCAAAATGGCTACGGACGACGATGATGCTGATGATGATGGAGATGATGACGATGACGATGATGACGATGATGATGATGACGATGATGCTGCTGATAATGATGATGACGACGATGATGATGAAGATGATGAGTATGATGTAGAATTGGATGGTGCGGATGATGGTGGCAGTCTTACATCTCACCCTTACACACAAGCCATCTACACAAAGGTACCAACATTACGGGGGGGGCGGGGGAGGGGCAGCGGAGCGGAGAGGAGCGGAGCATCGTCGGCCCGGCGGGGCGTCGCAAATGGGGGCTTCATTTGAGCAGGAACAGACCGTCCCGGCATTCCTGTAGGCCTACCACGGCATGTGCTCAGAACACCAAGCTGTTCGAATACCAAAAACAATGTCCCAATGTGCTGAAACAAAACTTCCACAGCCATAAATGTTCTATGAACATTTCGTGCTAACCGCAAAAGGTCCCTAGAGTATGGTTTGATGGGTCATTAGGCGAGCCGAGACGCTTCGCCACTGCTTGATGCATAGGGAGGGAGCCCACGATAGACGTACGGTAAGTTTGTGTCGTGTCGACCATGGCGTGTGATCCTGACACTGCAAGGGTCGTTCAACCTTGAGCGATCGGCAATTTACCAAACGTCCGATCGTTCAACATCGACCGATTCTGGGTCGCCGGCGGCGTTCAACCTTGAACGCCCGCGCTGGGGACGCCGCTTGTCGACACGACGCGAACCTACCGTACGCGCCCACCCACGTACATGAGTGAGGTCCCCCAATCGGCGAGACTGGCCGCGCGATACGAACGTTGGCACAATGCGTAGTTTCGAAACCATTGTGGATTCGTGTGCGTGTACGTCCTTCTTTGGCTCCTGAGATTCGTGAAACGGGGGGGGGGCTGCGGCATTCCACATGAGCGACGATCAAAATCGGGTCTCACGCGAGATGACACAGCGACCTTACGCGGTGGTTTACGCGGGCCACCAGCGCGGCAAGCCACGAGGGAGACGAGGGCGCGCACGCGCAACCTGACGCGGACAGCTCACGCGCGAATGTCCGCGCAGTCGAATCCCTTTCCATTGCGTCGCTCATTTGGCTCTGGCGGCTACGAATACAGCTGAAAGCACGGAAGCCAGGTCATCCCATAGAGGCCTCCTAGATGGGGTCGGAGGATCGAGCCGCACCAGCGATACACCGGCGACGTCGGCGAAGTAGTAGCACCGTCGGCGTGGAGATCATCGACTTCCACATCGGGCTGCATCGCCGATGCATCGGCGATGCAGCGCGATCCTCCGACCCCATCCACTCCGACCCCATCGGGGCGGCCTAGACTACCGCCGAAAGACTCCTTCTCTTCCTCCTCCTCCTCCTCCTCCTCCTCCGCCTCCTCCTCCTCCTCCTCCTCCTCCTCCTCCTCCTCCTCCTCCTCCTCCTCCCCCCCCATCTGGGAGGTCCAGATCCCAGGCGTGCTCGAGAAGCATGCCGCCGGGGGCAGTTCTAGCCTCCCGCACCCGTGCTCCGCCCGCCCTTGCCGACGCGTCGAGTGCTCCGCCGACACCCCAGGCGCCTATGGGGCGCGATCTTAGTTCCCAATCATCCTGTGCCGTTTTGAAGAGACAGCGCCCCGCGTCCTCTTCTCCACTCCTCTCCCCCTCCCCCTCCCCCTCCTGTTCCCTCCTCCCGTCCCTGCCTCTTCCCTCCGCATATCCTCATCGTCAAGATCATAACCATCGCTGCGTTCGCATTGCGGACAGCTTTGATGATCCGAGGTCACCTAACTTCGCGCCCAAACGCCCCGCGATGCGCGCTTACATTCGCGCCCTCGCCCACCCCCCTTGGAGAAGGGCAACCGCTCTGGCCCGGGCCGCGACGCGCGAAGCGCGATTATCTTCGCGCGGGTGACCTGGATGCTGAAGGCTGACACGGGCTTGAACATCGTAACTCACGATTGTGGGTCAGCAAGCGACTTCAACCGCAGCGAGGACACATCCTGGGGGATGCCCTGCGCATGCAAGCAGTCGCCAGAATACCGAAGCCAGTCTAGTGCTTGTTGTGGTCGACGTGGCGCCCCAGGACGGCCACATCGACCACATCCACAAACAAAATGCTCATGTCGAGGTCGGTGGGTTCTTCCCCGATGTGCCCTCCCGAGAAATCCACTTAATTGTGGGCGTGATTGCTGTACCCCGGCATTAAAACCAAACAATCTCAAGCAAACATGTTCTGAGAACATTCCGCACAGACCACAAGAGGTGCTCACAACATTCTTTCGTGGGCCTACAGGCAAGCCAGGACGCCTCCCCACTGCTTGACAGGCAACATGTTCAGGTAGAGGCCGGTGGGCTCTTCCCCGAGGGCCCCCCCCGGACAAATCCCACTTTGCTGTGGCTGTGGTTCCTTGCTGCACCCCGACCGAGGCCCGCCCTGCCCGCCCGTCCCCCTCGGGGATCTGCCGACCGGGGCCAACCCAAACCCGGGCCAGCCCGGCTTTGCAGGATCCTGCAAGATTCCGCGCCCAGGCCCGGGTCAGTGCACTCCTGGCTCTGCTCTGACGGACCCCCGCTTGCGTTGACCCCCGTCTCAAGGCTCCCGTCCCCGGCCCAGTCGACGGCCGCGGGCCCCATCGGCAGGCCCAAAGCCGCGCCCAGCCCAACGGCCGGCTCCGCCTCGGGTCGAGGCCGCCGCCGCCGCCGTCGAGGTGTCGTCGTAGTCGTCGTGAGCGCCGCCGCCGCCGGTTTTTTTTTTGTTTAGTTCAAATAATAAACACAACACAATCCCATCTGATTCTTTACTTCTTCAGGAAGATTCCTCCTGTAGAGGGACATGCCCGACTTGAAAGCAGGTTGGAGCATCACAAGGCTCGATGTGTGCACCGCGTCGTCTGGGGTCGGCCAGGGGGCTCGGGGCAGGGTCGCCCCAGCTTCCCACCCTGCGGGACGACGAAACGTCTAGAAAACCGTGTTGCGTCGGCGGCTACTCCGATTTTCTTAATAAGCGTCGGGGGGGGCGTCGCCCCCGCCGACAGCCCCGCATCGACCCCTGTCGCGGGCAGCCACCGCGCGCCGAAGGCGCTCTGACCCCCGTTGCGGCGCGACGACGAGGCGAGGTTGACCCCCGTCGGAGGGGTGCCCCCCCACGCTTGTAAAGAAGCACAGAAGGAAGGCTCGAGGGCCGCCGTCGAGGTTCGAGTCCGCGGCGAGCGGAGGGGGAAAGGAGAAAGAGAGGGCCTTCTCGGCAGGCGGCGGGGTTTCTCGGAAGCCCTCTGGTCTTCCCACAGGTGCTCGGCGTCTTCGGGGAGGGCCCAGAAGAGTACTGAGCAGGCCGGTGGACCTCCGAGCCTTCTGGGAAGGCCCGCCACCTGGCTCGCTGGCGATCGACGCCCGAGGATCCGAGTTCCAGTTTCTGAGCAAGCAGCGTGTCTGCAAGGACTCTATTGAAGGGCCCCTGGGACACACAAATAAGTAGACACAAATAACCAGATTCACGAGATTTTCCCATATTTTCTGGGTGTATGTCTTCCCCCCACTGCCCATATTTTCCCATGTTTTCTGGGGAATCGACGATTGATTAAGTCTGTGTGTTTTCTCTCCTCCTGATATATGCCCGTCTGTGCCTCGAAGATCAGCGTCGCGGTTCGATGAGGGTCGTGGCCGCCGCCGCCGCCATCGGGGCTCGAGGATGGTCGAGGATCGCCGTCGAAGTTCGAGTAGGCGGCGAGCGAGGGGGGGCGCGAAAATGAGGAGGCCTTTCTTGGAGCCGGCGGGGCTTCTCAGACGCCCTCCAGCCTTCCGGGAGGTGCTCGGTGTCTGATGGGAAGGCTTAGAAAACCGATCAGAAGTCCACGGGGCTTCTGAGCCTTCAGAAAAGGCCCGCCCCTTTTCACTTGGAGGAGGAGGAGGAGGAGGAGGAGGAGGAGGAGGAGGAGGAGGAGGAGGAGGAGGAGGAGGAGGAGGAGGAGGAGGAGGAGCCCCCCTCGCTCGCCGCCGATCGGGGCCCGAGGATCCAGATGTCAGTTTTGCCCCGAGCAGCTTGTCTGCAAAGGCTTAGTGTCCGCCACCGTGCCTCGAGGCACGAAGTGGAGTGCTCTCCAGGCACCGAGAGTTCTGTGCTCTCTCTTCAAGACTGCGCTTAATCTAACCCGGGGCAGGGAACCCCGAACTCTCAAATCTTACGGGCGCTCCCGCGCGTTCCCCGGCTTCCTCTCGCTACTTTTTTCCCAAAGGCCCGAGTATCCCTACGATGGGCCGAAACAGCCCCAAGAACTGCACAAGAGGGCCCAAGAGGTATCCAAGGCCGTCCGGCAGCGCTTCAAGACACCCAAAAGGGCCCCAACAATGCCGAAGAGGCCTCCAAGATGTCCGAGGAGAGCTGCAAGAGGCCCGCCACGGGGGCCCCGAGGTGCCCGAGCATTGGTTTGCTTGACGTGTTGGAGATATTTTAGTTTTCTCACCTTTTCTGGTTTCCGACGCTCCAAGACAGCCCCAACGACCTCCACGATCGTCACAAGAGGCCCCAGACGGCCCAATATCGATGCTGTTCCCAGCCTACTCAAGGACCGCATCCCGAAAATAATTTCGAGCACCCAGAAAAGATCGAAACAGTGTCTGCCCGCCACGCTGGCGAAGGGACCGACACGAGAAAACCCTCCAATGTTGGTACTTCCCTGGTACTCGACATTCACTCGGTCAGAGCATCATAACCCAAGATGACCCCAAGACGGCCCAAGAGGCCCCCAAGAGAGGCCAACATCTGTAAAAACCTGCGGGGAATCAGTAATATGTGCATTCTCGCCGTGAAATGCCGCATCAATCGTGCCAAATCAATGCGGCCCAATCAGTGCGTTTCGTTTCGCGCTTGCGCCCGAGGCTGCCAGGGCACTGCGCAGCGTCACGTGCGGCAGCATCGTGACCGAGGCCATTGCGGTGAAGTGGAAGGGCGACGCTGGCATGTGCCCGCACTGTGGGCTGGCTCCTGAAGACCACGAGCTTCGCCTTTGGCGGTGCCCAGCGTGGGAGGGTTCGCGGCGCACCGCCCTTGCTGCAGCGCCACGGTCGGAGACGCTGCCGAACGACGCCCAGGCCCTCGGGCAGCTGCTGCCAGCTGGCGTCGCGTTGACAGGGGTGCTAGCGATGCCGCCGCTATTCGCTGACCTCGCGGAGGCCGGCGCGAGCGCACACCCGCATCTCCCGCCCCAGGCCAAGCAGCAGCCCGACGCTCCCCGCCGCACGGTGTGGAGTGATGCGGCATGCCTCCACCCCGCCGACCCACTGCTTGCGCGAGCCGCATGGTGCCTGCGTGTCCACGGTCTCGGGGCCCCAACCTCGCCGGCCCTGTGACGGGCCGCAGGCCGGGCAGCGGGCCGAAGTCACTGCCGCGGTGCGGCGGCCCAATGGACCTCGCCCAGGACAGCCAGTACGTCGTGCGGGCCTGCCCGCAGCTGGAGGCCGGCGCCGACACGCGGGACTGGGAGCACGCCGACCTGTGGCAGCTGCTCTCAAGTGCTTTGCGGAGCGGGCGGCTACGAGCCAGGCGCAAGACCCCGGCGGAGGCGCGGCGCCATGGGGTGAGCGAGCCGGACCGCTTTGGCAACGCCGCGGCCGACGGCAACGCTGGCGCCGCGGCTGCGCAGCGGGTCCCGCCGCGCGAGGTCGTGCTTGCCCGCCGGAGGGAGCCCGAAGTGTTGGAGGCGGCGCAGCGGGTGCAGGCCGCTGCCCAGGCAGCGGCCCTGGCTGTTGCGTTAGTGCGTCAGCGTTACGGCCGGCACATCTGGAGCACGGTCCGCCGCGGGGTCGGGCTCGCCCTGCGTCCGCCCCAGCCGGCCCCGCGCCGCTGGCTGCTCGGCCGCGCCGACACGACGGCGACGACCCCGTCAGCGCAGGGGCCATGCTCGTCGCCTTCTTCGCAGAGCGCCCGTGGTGGCCCCACGCCTTCGCGCAGGGGCCCGGCCGGGTGTGCTGCCTCCGCCGCGGCGGCAGCGCCGAGACCGTGGCGGTCACGATGGGCTGCGCGTGCCCGGGGCGGCAAGGCCGCTTGCGGGCGCGTGGGCAGGCCCTGCTCCTCCTCGGGAGCCTGCGCCTCGCGGGGGGCGGCGAGGCAGATTTCGCCTCTTTGGCTGCGCGCCGCATCGCGCAGCTGCCACCGGCTAGATCGGCGCCGGCGGCCGTGCCGTTCCGCCCTCTGTCCGCGAGTCAAGGACAACAGCATTCTCGCCGTGTCGCTCATGATGCGCTGTTGGGGCCTCCATATGGCCCAAGAGAGGCTCAAAAGGAGCCCTCCCGGCGACCCCACGAGCGCCCAAGATCGGCCCAAGAGCGTCCCAAGAGCCCCAGAGGGGGGGGGGGCGGGGGGGGCGGAAAATCTAGCCCCACCCCCCTTTGATCGACAGCCTCCAAGATGGCCCCAAGAGACCTTCAAGGGTCCACAAGGAGGGTGCCAAGAGAGACTCTGTAGGGCCTCCGAAAGCCCCAAGACTCTCCAAATGAACCCCACGAGGACCCCAATATCCCCCCCAAGTCTCACGAGGGCTCCAAGAGGCGATTTTGAGGGCTCTGTCCTCGTCCTCGTCGTCCTTTTCCTGCTCGTCATCGTCCTTGCCCTCATCGTCTCCTTTTTTCCTGAGGCTCCGCTTCCTCGTCGTTGTGGGTCGTCGTCGTCGTCTTCTTTTTGTTTGTTATGTTTATTATTTTTTCCTCGCCTCCACGCGGGCCCCTGGGCTCCCTATATTCATCCTGGTTGCCCGCTTTGTTTAACTATAATTATTTGATTAGTCGCGCCCTTTTCGTCAGCTCTCATAGACCGGGTTTTTGACTTGGCTGGTGGGGATACTTTTCTGATCGCGACCGCGGCGAAAAGGTCGGACGGCGTCCAGGAACGATGCACACGGGCAACGCCATAAACTCGCGCACAGGAAGAAGGAGGGGCAAAAGAGAGGCAAGACCAAGCGGGGAGAGAAAAACGGTTGGTGGGGATACTTTTGATCGCGAACGCTTACGGTACGACCGCGCGCCGAAAGTAACAATGCAGCCGGGCCAAGCACTAAATTAAACACTGAGCAACAGGAGCGAACTACGCTGCAGTTCAGTGGGCGAGAAAGACTAACGCGAAACGTAGATAATTTCGAGAACTCGCGCCATGATCTATATCGACATGCTTCCGGAATTATCGCAAATCTCATACTCGGGTTTGATACGTGCGCTGGACAACTAAATCAAACATCCTGTTCCTCCAACTTCTTCAACTCTGGTTGATCCGAAGCTCTCTATTCTTAAAAGGCGTAAAAAAACGGGGATCTGTCTCCTGGACCCCCTCAATTCGGACGCCTGGAATGGGTACGGAAAGACGGGCACGATGCCCAACAACACATATTGTCCAAAACTGACAGCGGCCGCTGTGGTGCAGGTTGCCTTGGCGGCCTTGACGTCGACGCCGACAGCGAGTCATGTGCAAAATGGGCAGGAACTGCTGTCGGTCTTCGTACCAGTCCTTCAGTAGTAGTAGTAGTAGTAGTAGTAGTAGTAGTCGTCGTCGTCGTCGTCGTAGTCGTAGTCGTAGTCGTAGTAGTAGTAGTAGTAGTAGTAGTAGTAGTAGTAGTAGTAGTAGTAGTAGTAGTAGTAGTAGTAGTAGTACTAGTAGTAGTAGTAGTAGTAGTAGTAGTAGTAGTAGTAGT